GGAGTTTGGCCGTTATCACAGGAGCAATGGGGAACCACTGAAGGCTTGGGGGGCCAAGGGACTTGTCCAGGCACACGTGCAGGAAGGGTGAAGCCCCCACCCTGCGCTCCCACGCGCGGCGCTCCACCCCCACCCAGAGCGGCCCCTCCCACCGGGCGCCCAGAACACACAATCACACCCCAACGCCCCTTTCGTAGCGTCACGCCTAGGCGCATGCGCGCTCCGTCTCACCAGCTCGCGCGCGCGCGCGCGCGCGCGCTCTCTTTCTCTCTCTCCCCCCGGCCCGGGTCCGTGAACCAATCGGAGAACTCCGAGGCCCAGCGGGCTTTCCTTCGCTCCACCCCCCCCCCGTCCCCGCGGCCGAGAGAGCGTCCCCGCCCCCTGCCAATCGCCAATCAGAGAGCCCGGAGGCCGACTTTCTTTCCGTCCTTCCTTCCGCCCTCGCGCCCGCGGCGGCCAATGGCCGAGCCGGGACGAACGTTTCCCCGCCTTCGGGGGCGGGACCGGCGGCGGCTGCGCCAAGATGGCGGCTAGCGGTGTGGGCCGGGCGGCGTCTGTGGCGTCGGGGGCCGTGGGCACGGCGGTGAAGCCCATCTTCAGCCGGGACCTGAACGAGGCCAAGCGGCGGGTGCGGGAGCTGTACCGGGCCTGGTACCGCGAGGTGCCCACTACCGGTGAGGGGCCGCCCGGCGGGCGGGGGGGGCGGAGCGGGCGCTCAGGGTCAAGGTCGCGATCCCCGCCGCTCTTAAAGGGACAGCCCCGTGAGTGTATCCCGAGTGGGCCGGCGGGGACGCCCCTTTCATGGAGGGGAAACTGAGGCGCGATCCCTGGCGCTAGTGCCCAGCGAGTCACAGGGAAGGGAAGCACGAGTCCGAGGTCACGCAGGCAGTTGTAGCACAGGTGGCGTTCGAACCGTTGGGCCCCCTGCCGCTTCCACCACACCCTTGAGCCTGGCGTTCAAGGCCTCTGCCCCCCCACTAACGAGGTCGCAGATTTGCAGTCGGGAGGGTGTCATGCAGGCGCTGTTTTGCAGAATAGGAAACTGAGTCACAGGGAGGGGACGAGGCAGGTCCCAGGTGCCCGGAGCCCCGGGACTCCTTCCAGCGTGTGCTGGGGGGTGGGCTCCCGACCCTGGCGCTCGAGTCTCCGATGCTCCCGTACAGAGGACGTGGAGGGTCCGGGTGGGATTAGGGGCGCTGGGTGGGGGCCTAGGCGGGGCCCGGGTCCCATTTCTCCAGTTCTAGCGGCGCATAATTGATGCGGGTGGGTCCGGGTCCCCCATACTGAGGGTCAGCAGCAGCTCGGGCCCGGGGTTCCAGCCTGTGCCCAGGGCAGGGGGAAGGGAGGCTGGACACGGAGGTGCCCGCTGACCCCTCAGACTGCTGGTTCTTTGCGGGCCCCTCCCAGCATCCAGCCGGGGCCTTGCCCTCAAGGGGGGGCGTGTGCGTGCGGGCACCTCGCGCTGGGGTCTGTGTGCCCCTCCTCAGACACCCCCGTCCAGCCCATCGGGCCCGTGCTCTGGAACACGACCCTGGTGGAACAGGATGGGTGAACAGAAGCTGGGGACGAGGGCCGCCCTGACTGCTGACCTCCTTTCTCCCCAGTGCACCTTTTCCAGCTGGACATCTCTGTGAAGCAGGGCCGGGACAAAGTCCGAGAAATGTTCATGAAGAACGCCCACGTTACAGACCCTCGGGTGGTGGATCTCCTGGTCATTAAGGTACCTGGGCCGTCTGGGTCTCCCCGCCCCCCCCCCCCCCCCGCGGGCTCCTGGAAGGCTGTTGGTGGACAGACAGCTGGTAGCAGGGGAGCCCGCTCTGTCTGGCCGGCTCGCCGGCACTTGGCATTTTTTCATTCCTTCGTTTTTCAGGTTACCAGTCAATCGCCAAGCATTTATTAGTCACCACGTTGCCAGGCACTTTATAAATATTATGTCGTAGCCTCACCACAACCCTGGGAGAACAGGTACTGTTATTGCTCCCATTTTACAGATGAGGAAACTGAGGCAGATAGCAGTTGTGTGACTTGCCAAGGGTCACATTTGAACTCAAGTCTTACTGACTCCAGGACCAGGGCCCAGACATGGAACAGAGTATACAAAAACAACATCGGGAGAAATACAAACTCATTTGAAGGGAGGGTGCTAGCAGGGCAGGTAGAGCTGTCCAGGACAGCTGCACAGGGGAAGACAGCCATTACAAACTCATGGAGGCAGGGGGAGGGTCTCGTGCTAGTCCCAGAGAAGGCCCATCCAGCTGGTCTGACGTCACCTCAAGCAGAGGAGGCCTCTGGGTTTGATCCAAGCCCTAGAAGAAGACCTGGGTGGGGGGGAGCAGGAAAGAGGGCCTTGGTCCCCTCCCTCTTAGGGAGACCCACTTTGGCAGCTGTGGGGAAGGCAAGCTGGCGCCCCTGACGAAGTCGCTGCACTCGTGTACGTTAGAGCTCTCCTCAGTGGGAAAAGGGAAAGGGGAGTCTGCAGGGAGAGATAGCGGATGGATAGAGGTAGCAGATGCATGTTGAGTTGGAGGTGTGTCCAGGACAGTCTGAGATCTTGTGATGAGCATTCAAGAGGAAAGGGGCCGTGGGCGGGGGCTAGGAGAACCCTGCCTTCCCAGCTGCTGCCTCTGTGAGGCCGATTCTTGTTCCCTTTGGGACCACCCTCCGGGGCCCAGCATCTCTCCTCCTTGTCCTGAAGGGCTTGGAAGCAGAACCTCGGGGTGAGCCTCGGTCCACAGACTGAGCCGGGTTAGGCAGACCCGTCTGGGCCAGGTGTTGGGAAAGCATTCCCCTTTCGGGGCTCCTGGGTTCACCTGGGAGGGCCGGGTGACCGAACACCTTTCCTCTCTGCGCAGGGGAAGATGGAATTGGAGGAGACAATTAAAGTCTGGAAGCAGCGGACCCATATCATGCGATTCTTCCATGAAACAGAAGCCCCCCGACCCAAAGATTTCCTCTCCAGATTCTATGCTGGTCACGACCCATGATGCGCCTCTGGAAAGGGGCGCCTTGGTATTTAATTCTAATACTGCAAATAAACTCTATGGTGGAACCTTTGTGTGCTGGCATTCCCTGGATGGGCCGGGCCTGGCCCAGCAGGCCTGCCATCCCCTCTCCCTGCAGCACAGATTTGTGCTGGGTCAGCTGGCTGGAGTACAGCCAGCTCCTCCCAGCAGACTCCGTAGTGGCTGTGAGGGGCCTCAAATCAGAGAGGGAAGGAAGCTCAGAGGGCCCTGGTCCAACCCAGGCCTCAGAAGGCCCCCCCTTGTCAGCATTCCCCATAGTGGGCAGCCTGCCTCTGATCAAAGTCCCTTCCCGGCCCTGTCTCTGTAATGTCTACCTGCTGCTTCTGACATGAAATATTAGCTTTAAAAAGCTGGGGCCTCTTTTGAAAAACGGCGTCCCTCGCTCCTTCCCCCAGGAGGGTCAGTTAAGACCCTCAAGGCTTTACCACAATCTCTGAAGAATCAAACTGTGACATGGAGGGTAACGTAGAAAGACATGATGATCTATGGGCAAAAGAAGAACAAGATTTTTTTAAAGACGATTATGAGCAGTGTAAGGGTGCAGGCTGATTGCCTATCAAGGATCCTACAAAGAGCATTTTTACAGAGCGGAGCAGCTTGGTTACATGTCTTCTCAGATCTATGATTAAATGAATTGTATATTGGAAATCTACTCACTTTTATGTAAGATCTCAATAAATCAAGTGAATTTTAAGGTTTAAAAAAAAAAAGACCCTCAAGGCTTTTCTGTGCACTGAGCAAGGTTGCAGAGGTCCCTGCTGTGTTCCTGGTCATCATGGGCTTTGAACTTTCTTGTGAAACTTGACCCGCTTCAGTGCAGGATTCACTGAGGCAGAAGCTCCCTCCTGACTTGGACAGTTTTCCCAAGTTGCTGTGGCCAAAAATAACGAGTCCCTGAATGTTTAACCCCTTGCTGATGAGCCCTTCCCAGTGACCAAGGCGGCCTCAAACAATGGGAGACCAAGTGCTCCATAAGCCAGCAAGGCGCTGGAGGAAACCAGCCTCCCTACCAATCCCTAAGAGCCCATGAAACGTTTGGCCTTTAAGTGCCCACTCACGGTTGTGGTTTTCAAATGTCCCTCAGAAATGACAGAGACAGGACAGGAGATGAAGTGGGAATACAGGAAATTGTCAGAAACCATTTGGTCTGATTCTGCGCCAACAGAAGTGATTGGTGAGATGGGCAGACGCTTACAAAAACAGAAACTATACAAATTAACAGAACGAGAAATGGAGACAAAACAGCCCCAGAGAAAGAAACCAAACGAGCCCCAAAAGAGCCGCCAAAGAAAGAAGGTAGCCCCTCCCCATGTGGCCTTGATCCCTAGGGCTAGAGGGAAAAAAGGAGAACCAAGACAGCTTTCCTCCTGGTAGGGACAGTGGGGCCTGTGCCCTGCTTTGGGTGCTTTCCTCCCTTCCGCCTGGCTGCAGCCGTGCTAAAAACAACCACCCGGGGATTGTGGCCTGGAGCAGATGGGGCCCCACCTCCTCGTTCTGTAGATCAGGGGAATACCAGTCCAGGACTGGCTCCCACCTGCTGCTTCCTTCCAGGCAGGCGGCTGCATCACCCTCATCTCCGTGCTCTGGTGTGTCAGGATTACGTGCCAGACCTGCGGCCTGCCTAGGCCTCACGTCAGCAGCCAGCAGCTGGCTCTCCCATGCATCACCCAAGACACCATGCACGCACAGACACGGGCAGTCCTGCCCTGGCCTCAGCTGCAAAGTGCTTTTTATTCATAGTTCAAGTGATCTGGGGCTGTAGCCCGGCCTTCACAGAGGGCAAGGGAGCTCGGGCTAACAGGCTATGTTCTATACATCACACCCCCTGCGCCATGCGGGGGGAACGCTGGTCATGGTGGTGGAGGGCCGAGGCTGCTGGAGAAGGAACACGACGGCTACAGAGGCTTCAGTGTCAGGAGAGGGCCGGCTGTGCCCTGTGGGTGGCCAGCGCACCCTGCAGTAGAAAGCAGAGCTGCGCTCAGAGGAGAAGGTTCAGGCCAGCTCTGTGCCCTCCTACCACCTGGTGGCCATAACCAACACGCCAACCTCCACCGAGGGCTCTGGGGCCCCTAGAGTGGGGCAGGGGCACGCCGCAGGCCAAAGAAGTGCCTGTGCTCAGGAGGCACCTTGGGATCCTTTCCCAACCTCGTTCCCCTCCCCAGGTCCAGTCCTGCTGGATGACCTCCAGTATCTCCAGCCTGTGTCCTTCTCGGGGAGGAGTTCATTGGTTTATTTTCTTTGGAATAATTTAAAAACCATTAAATTGGGGAATCCTCAGGACCGGAGTCCTGGCTTCCAATTATCAGTCATGTGACAGTGAGGAAGCTCTTTAATTTCCCTGCACCTTAGTTTACTCATCTATAAAATGGGCCAGAGACCACTCGTAGCAGGTACCTCAGAAGGTTGTGGTGAAGGAGGCACTCTGTAACCTCTAATAATACGTCATCAGTGCCCACTGCTGTCTTTGGAAGAAGGCTGGACTAGACGGCCAGGAGATGGTGGGGAAGAACAGGGAAAGCTCTAGGTTTGGAACTGGAAAAGACTGCGGTTGATACTTCCCTCTTGTAGCCCTGTGATTCCGGCAGGCCATTGTAACTCACATGTAAAATATGGACAAGTGTGCTTGACCTCTACCTCCTGGGGTTCTGGAAACAGTGTTTTGTAAACCTTCAGGCACTACAGAAATGGGCATTAGGATCTGCTCCTCAAAGGCCTCTCTGCTGCGGGATGCCCCATGGCCTCTATTTTATTCCATTTATTTATTTATTTATTTAATTTTAGGCAGTTGGGGTTAAGTGACTTGCCCAGGGTCACACAGTGTGGGAGGCTGGATTTGAACTCAGGTACTCCTGACTTCAGGGCCAGTGCTCTATCCTCTGCGCCACCTAGCTGCCCCTGCATGGCCTTTATTTTAAAGAAGGTTGCCCTCAGGGGCACAGGATGGGACTAGAGGCAGGTCCACTGCTCTAGTTCTGGCCTCAATGGGCTGGATCATCTCAGAGGCCAACAACCTCCAGCTCATCCTTCTCCCCTTCATTGTATCTGTGACGGGAGTTCCACCTCTGCCCTGCACAGATCAAAGCAAAGTAAATCGATGCAAAGGCAGATTCCTCAAAAGGAATCCCTTCATCTACATCAGCCTCCACTTAGGCACCCCCCCCCCCAGGACCAGGGACACCTTGGCAAGCCTCTGGTAGTTGGGAGCTGAAATCTGCCTCCTACCTTCCTCATGCTGCTACCAGGTTAACCTTTGAAGGGAGGCAACGAGGAAAAGGACACCCCCAGAGGGAGGAGTGTGCCACTATCTGTTTGAATATCTGGCCTGAACAAGGCTGGAAGTGCTGGGGCTTCTTCCTTTTCCAGAAGGTGCCCTGCCTGCACTGTCGGGGGCAGGTTCCCCTTTGCAACAACACCCAAAGAGGCTGTTTCTATGCTGAAATGAGGCTGCTCTGTAGGGGGAGGGCATAGAATGCACAGGGAAGTTGGTGAAGTAAGAAAATGAGGACCACCAGGGGCTAGCTTAGTTCATCATCCATCCACACCGAACAAGTGCCTACTATGTGTCAGGTCCTGGCCTCAGGGAGCTCTGGTGCTCTCGAGGCTCTGCCTGGGCCCCCCTGAGCTGTGTGTCTCCAGACGATCCGGGACAACACTGCTCCCCTTTCCATGGCTCTCCGAAGGTCTACAAAGCACTCTACACAGAATCCCTTGTTTGGGCCTCACAACCACCTGGAAAGGGAGGTACGTAAGGAAACTGCTGAGGTGACCGAAGTGAAGCCATCTGCCCAGGATCTGCAGACAGGATTTGAACCCAGACCCCCTGACTGCCAGGCCAGGACCGTGCCAGCTAAGGCTCTGCTGAGCTGTCCTGTGCTTCAGGAATACAGGCAGGGAGAAATCGAGTCTTACCTACTAGTCGTCATCGTCATCATCCTCTGGGACAAAAATGTCATGTTCTTCCAAGAGGGCAGCAAAATTCTTGCTAATGAGTGTTCCAAAGTACAAGAAGGGAATCACGATGGAGAAGACCCGGAGAAGGCCGAAGGACATCTGTAGGATGTTAGAGACAGGCACCAAGGGAAACCACGGCCCAGCAACAGGCCTGTAAGGGTCTGCCTAGTCCTGGGACCCCCAGGGCTGACCCCACCTCCCAAGCCGCCCAGTGCCCCATCAGAAAGCAGGGGATGGAGCTTTGTCTGGTGGGCAGCCCCCCCCACATACACACCCCGTCCAGAGGAGGCCCCCCCCCGGGCCCACTCAGTCCTTCCTCAGTGCCCTTCCGACCCTCCTGGAGGGTCAGGCCCCTCCCTGGACAGCTAACGCTGACAGGTCACCTACCACGCGCCACGCGCCGTAACCAAGTGACAGTTATTCTCTCGTGATCCTGGCCGCTAGCCCGGGAGGTCGGGGCTGTCGCGAGATGAAGGGACTCGCTACCAGTGAAGAGTCCGCACCCCACCCGCTGCCCCTGCTCAGTGCCCGACACGACGCGTTAAAACCGCTGGCTCCAAGTGAAAACACCCGCAAAAGTGGGGAGTGGTCCTTCACTGGCTCCCCACCGTGGTCTCCTCTAATATCTAAGGGCGTCCTGGGCGCCAGGAGCGCCCCGTCCTGACTCTGGGTTGGAAGCATGGCGGGGTGGGGGGGAGGAAGGGGTGCCCCCCTGGCCTCGAGGCCCTCCAGGGGACGTTCCAGCCCCCAAGCAAAGCAGGGCCTGAGCCGAGGGCCGCCACCCGCGGCCCCCAGCCACCCCCCCCTCTGGCCACGCCTTCAGCCGCTTCCGGGCCGGCCCCCGGGCCTCCGCCCGTCAGCGCAGCCGGCCGCGAGGATTGGCCCGCCCACGGCGGCCCCGAGCGCTGATTGGCCGGAGCCCCACCTCGCCCCACCCCCTCACTTACTTTAGCCGGCTTGGGCAAGATGGCTCCGCTGCGGGTAGCGATGAGCGATCGCGAAGGGACCGGGCCCTGCCCCAGGCCGCTTCCGGCCTTCCGCGCGGCCGCCCCAGTCCCTAGAGTCCCGCTTCGAGCGGCCGCCGCCGCCGCCAGCCAGCGAGCCGCTCCCAGCGACATCTTGTCTCCGACCTCGCGGACAGACCGGTGACGTCCAGTGGCCTGGGCGGACACGCCCGCCCACCGCTCTCGCGATAGCCCCGAGCGAGATTCCCGGACCTTGCCCCTGCGCGCGACCGAGGAGCGGCGCTCCTGGCAGAGGGGGAGGATGGGGGCGACGAGCGCCGGGCTGCGTGGTGACGTCATCTAGTGCCGTGCCCCGCCCCGGGGCTGTCCTGAGGCGGCTTCTGCGAGTGAATCCGGGGTAGGGAGGCTGGGCCACGACCCCTGCCCCCATTTTACAAGGGAGTAGATCGAGGCTCTGAGAGTCCTTGTGACTTGGCCCAGAAGGCTGGGAGGCCGCGTGTCCGGCCCGCTGGAGCCGGGAGGGCCCCAGGGGGCCTCGTTTGACAGATGAAGAAACCGACGCGCGGGAGGTGCAGGGCGGCTGTGCACTTAGCGCTTGAAGGAGACCCCCTTATTTTGCAGAAGGAGCCAGGGTCACTTCACCTCTCCGTGCCTCAGTTTCCTCATCCGTAAAACGGTGGCGATAAAAGTGACACCGACCTCTGGGGTGTCGTTGAGGCCGCTGTGAGCCTCACTCCAAAAATGAGGACTCTGCCCCGCCCCCACCCACCCCTCTTCTTGTGGCCCCCCTCTCTCCTTGGCCCCAGGATGGATTGCTATGACCCCGTATTGCCCCTGGCACGAGGCTGCCCCCATCCCCATCTCCCCCGCCCAGCTTCAAGATCCCCAAACCCATCGAGCACATGGGCACAGCACCCCCACCCCGTGGGAGCCCCTGTGCTCTGGCGGATGACACCCTGGGGAGCAGGACCAGTAGCAATTATTGAGCGCTCAGTGTTTGCTACCCAGCCAGAGTTCCAAATTCTCCCCTCCCTGCCCATTGAGAAGGCCCCTTCCGTGCCTAAAACGCCCCATTCATAATGGAGGGAAATGCTCACTATGGGAGGCTAGAGAGGAGAAGGACCTCACTTCTCCCCATCCAAGTTCATGGCCCCCCCTCAAGTCCAGGGGGTCCGTGAACTTTGGCTAAGAAGCCCTCCACTCCACAAAGCCGTGGCAAAAGCTATGAAGCCCCTTCTGACCCAGGCTGGAGTCAATCCAGAGACACAGAGAAGGGAAGAAGCATTTATATAGCACCTGCTAAGTGCTTTACAGATCTTATTTGATGGTCACAACAGCCTTGGGGAGTGAGGTACTATGAGCATATTTTACAGTTGGGGAAACTGAGGCAGGCAGAGGGGATGTGACCTGCCCAGCGCCACACAGTGTGGGAGGCTGGATTTGTCACCAGCTGCCTCCAGAGAACTTGAGTGGGGGGAGCTTGGCTGCCCCCCCACCTGTGGTGTTAGGGGCTTCCTTGAGGCCATGCTGACTGGGGTGGGGGGCGTTTCCCAGAACTAGTCCCTGGACCCAATGGGGACAACAGAGGCTGTTTTGAGGGTCCTGCGGTCCTGTGTGCGCATTCCTGTGCAGGGCCCAGGGAGGCAGGGGTCAAAGCCAGGACTGCCCCACGCCCGGGCACCTGCCTCAGTGGGGTGGCAGCCAGCTAGCCGGTGGTCCCAGGTTCTAGTCAGCTCTGACGGGCAGCACAACCCCTGTGACAGAGGTAGAAGGCGGACCAGTGGACTCTAGGCGTCTGTCTGACTCAGATGTTCTGCTCCGGGTTCTGAGCATTCACATCAGAGCCAGGAGGGAGGAACCCTCCCCCCACCACCACCACTTCTCAGACCTCCCTCAGGAACCAGGGGCTTGGGCAGCTCTGTGTCCTGCCTCGAACTCCCTAGTCCCTCTGGGCCTCAGTTTCCTCATCTGTAAAAGGATGAGGGTGGACCAGATGACACCTGCACTGCCCTTGCAGCTCTCAGTCTGCTGACCTCCAGAGCCAGGCTTGGAGGCAGTTAGAGTCCTTATCTCCTTCCTACTCTCCCTCGGGGATGAAGGGGGATGAAAGACTAGGAATCGCCTGTGGGCCTTTTCCCCACAAGGCTATTTTCTTTCTGGCTTTAACAGACTCCCGGAACCTGCAACCAGAAATCACCTAATCCCAGCCCAAAAGGAATCCCTCCACAACGCCCCCAAGGGTTGGTCCGCTGACATCCGTTTGAAGCTCATGTGGTGCAAGAGCAAAACAGGGAAAGGCCCAGGCTCAGCCCTCCCCCCCCCCGGGCCTCAGCCTCCTCATCTGTAAAATGGGGGTCACGATGCCTGCCCTTGAGGCCAGCTCTATCCATTAGGCTACACTGTCTCATCATTATCCTTTTTCTTGGTATGTCAGAGCCGTTAGAGATCCCCTTCCTGGTTATTATTATAAATGGAGAAACTGAGGCTCAGAGCTGCTCACTGACTCCCCTCAGGTCACCCGGTCATTCAGTAGCCATCTTTCCTTTCTGACTTTCTCCTGAGGACTCAACCCTGTGTCCTGAGCAATTAGGGAAAGGAAAGAAGAAGGGTGTACTACCTCCCTTCAGACGATGGCCGCAGTGGGCATCCAGGGGTCTTAACAAAGATAGGAAAGGAGGAGGGGGCTGGGGCCTGGGCGAGGAGAGTGACCAGGCAGCTTCTTCCCTGGAGCTGATCTGGGCCCCCACGGGCAGTGTGGAGGGTGAAAAGCCAGACCGCTTGGGGGGGGGGGTCAGGAGCCCCATGTCCCCCTGCTCTCCCCTCACAGCCCACCACCCAGGCCCCTGGCTTGCAACCACTCCCTCCGGAGATCCATGATCTCTTGGCCGTACCAGTCATGCAGCTTGGGGAAGCAGGAGGTCTCTGGGGACACTGGGCTGTCCCCCCCATTCAGGGGCAGGCCGGCCGGGCCCCAGGGACAGTTCTCCGCCAGGCGCCGTCGGCCAACAGGAGCAGGGAGCCTTGTGGCCACCTCCTCCCCTTCTGTATCTGCCGAGGGGCTGCCCTCCCTGAGCTCGTCTTCGGGTTGGGGGGGTGGCCGGTCCGGAGGGCGGGTGGCCCTGTGGGGCGGGTGGCGGGCGCCGGGGTGGCGGGAGGCGAGGCCCACCTGCATGTCGCAGAGCTGCCTTTCCAGTTCCTGCACCAGCAGCCGCATGTAGCCAAAGCTGGCCCTGGAGAGCACCTTCACCCAGGCCTCCTGGGCCTCGGGCCCCTCGGCTGCCAGCACGTAGGGCCGCAGCCCAGGGGCATCGAAGCGGATGGCGAAGGCGAACTCCTGGGGGGCCTCGCACAGCTCCACGGTGCAGCCCTCCAGCACGATGAGGCCCAGGGGGGGCCGGCTCTCCCGCCCCTCGAAGTAGAAGAGCAGATTCCCCTTGAGGACGAACCAGCAGCGTGGGCAGGAGCCCCCCGGCCCCAGCCGATGGCTGGCGGGCTCCCGGGCTGCTGCAGCGGCGCAGGAAGCCCTCATGGTCGGCGGGAGAGCCGCTCACGGCGTAGTGGGCCACGCTGTGTTCATTCAGCTTCATGGCACCGACTGCCCGGGCCCTGCGGAGGGAGGGGAAGCTGAGAGGCTGAAGAGAGGGCACCCGGTAGATGTGTCCGAGCAGCAGAAGGGAGGGGAGGACCCCAGGGACCATCCCCTGACCTGCGGGAGCCTTGCTGACAAACCCTGGCCCTGCCTGGAATGGCCATAGGCTCTGGCTCGTAGGCACCTGAGGCAGGTGTCCGAGGATGGAAGGAGCCGAGCTGGGGGAGGTGGGATGTTCTGGGCCCTTAGGGCCTGGGCTCCAGTCCAGGTTCCATGACCTTAGACTAGTCACGCGCCAGTAGGCTTGGATAACCCCCGAAGCCCCTTCCAGTGGGGATTCTGCGAATGTCACACTTTTGGTGACGTCTCTGGTTCATTCAAGCAAACATTTGGTCCCCCAATGCAGTGAGGGTGAGGTCTCCGTGGAGCCCCCTCCCCCCATTAAACTCTCCTAGAGCCCTTTTGTGTAAATGTCAGATTTACCCTGACCTTCCCCGCTCCCCCCACCGCCTGTCACTCAGGGGATGAAGCCTGTGTCTTTGAAACTAAAGGCCGTTCTTTGATGCAGCAATTGTCCCAGCTGGTGGTGTTCTAATACAGCTTAAACACTCTTTGTTATCAGGGATAGCTCTCTTGGAGGGGCCAGGGGAAGAGATATGAGAGAAATTTGGAGAACGTAAAAATGAAAGGTGTCAGTAAAATCTTATTTAAAAAAATCAAGGCCAAGCTCCTTATTTCACAGATGGAGAAACTGGGGCCTGAGCCGGGAAGCGAGCATTAGTCAGTACTAGAAGTCCAGTGAGCGTTCCGGAGAGGGAAGGAGGGCAGAGGGAGAGAGGGATGTGGGGGAGCCATAGCCCATATTCAGAGCATTCAGGACTGATGGCTCTTATCTTGCCTTACCCTAGGGCATACCTGCTTAGGTCAGAACTGGTTTGGACTCAGTGGCTACCGCTGGTTCCCCAGCTGTCCAGTCCACTCCTGATCTGCCCCCGGGCAGCCTGTGCCTCTTCCTCTTCTGTCAAATGAGGGAGCATTTAAGCCCTGGGGCCGCTCCCAGGCAAGACCCCGAGCTCCAGAGGGCCCAGAATATCTCACACTCCCCAGCTCGGCTCCTTCCATCCTTGGACACCCACCTCAGTGGCCCCAAACCCCCTCTCGTGGGCAGCCTCCTTTGCTTTGCCAACATCCCTCTCCTTGCTCCTGGATGTACTCAGCTCCTAAAGCTTGTCTCTGCCCCCCGCCCCCCACCCCCCAAGGTGAGCTTCATTTGAACCCAAGGCTCTTGTCCCAAATGAGGCAGTGCAGAACACTGGAAAGAGCCCTGGATTTGGAGGCGGGTGACTTGGGTTCAAATCCTGGCTCTGCCAATTACCCCTGCCTGGCCTTAGGTCCTCAGACCTCTCTGGGCCTCAGTTTCCTCATCTGTCAAATGAGAGGATTGGGCCAGGTGACTTCCAGGGTCCTGTGACCTTTGACTCTCCCTTCCCCTCACAAAAAATCCTAATGACTCTACCTCTACAAGGGTCGGAGTCATGGGAGCTGGGTTTGAATGCTGGCTGCTCTCTGACCACGGGCCAGATCTTCACTCATGAGTGAGGGGAGTGGACTTGATGCCTTCCCTGGCCCCGCAAAGCTCTCAGGCCAGCATCCTCTGGTCTCGCATCTCCCAGGAGCAGGAGGCCTGGCAGCCCCGACTTCCCTGTCTGTAAAATGAGATTGCGCAGGATTCCTCCAGCTCTGACTACCTGGACTCCTTCATTCTATGCCCTTTAGGGAACAGGGCTGAGGCCATAAAAACTGAATCCATCAGCTCCCGGGCTGAAGGTAGGGAGATGAAGAACAAGGGAATCCCTCCCTTGCAAGGACATTCCAGTTAGGACATTCTTATCTCATGCACATTCTAGGCATTCTGGAGGTGGGGCGGGAACATTCCTTTATCTCCCTGGCCATCTTCCATGGCACTGCGGCTGGCCTGGACAAAGGCCGGGACCATCCACCGGGATGTGCCCGGGTATTTCAGGGTCTCCCTGAAGCCAAGCTCCACACTAAAGGCTGGGGATGCCAAGAAAGACGAATCCAGTCCCTGCCCTCAAGAAGCTTCCCGTCTAACAGGGAGACAAGCAGTCAGAGGCCTGTCAGGTCCTGGGGCTTGATGACCACTCACGTTTTCTATTTCTTTCCCCAGAATGTTCCCATGACCTGCAGCTGAGTCACACCCTGGTCTGACTGCTGGGGCCTCCTTCCTTTCCCTCAGCTGGTCGGGAGGAGGGAGGGCAGAGGGGTTCAGCCAGCCTCACCCTGAACCAGGCAGGGGCTGGTAGCAGCCCGGGAAGGGGGCAGGGCAGCACATCTGCTGCTCCCCATAACTGGCCCCACATCCATGCTTGTGAATGCTCAGTGACATTAGAAGCAGGTCCAAGCCCCTCATTTTTACACACGAGGAAACAGAGGCCCAGAGAGAGGTGCAGTGACTCACTGCCAGGGGTCACACAGCTGTTAAGTGTCTGAGGAGGGGGGATTGGAACCTGGCTCTTCTGCACTCCCTCGACCACACCAAGGTTGGGATGGACTGGATTATAGGTTGGCCGATTTAGAACTCGAGGGAGCTCCAGAGACGCCCAGCCCAGCCCCCGACCTTCTACAGGGGAGGATGCATGCGCAGAGAGGGGGAGTAGGTAAGTGAGTGGCAGAGCCCAGCTGAAGCCCAAGGTCCCTCCTAACTCCCGGATTCTTCAAGTCCTCATTGGCCCCAGGTTCTTGTATGCTCAAGGCACTGCCACTCCTTCCTTGTCCCTCCCTCCCTCCCCTCTGGTCCCCCCCCCCCCGGGATCTGGGACTGCCTTCTGGGGAATGGGGCCCAGCAAGCTGCTCCTCCCCAACCACCCCAGGAGCAAAATGGGCAGATGGGGGAAGGGGAGGGGGACGAGGAGCCCAGGCTCTGGATCCTCCAGGGAGCCACGTGGCAGCACCCCTCCACTCCCCACTATCCAGGACTGCTCAATGACTAGGATCCCTAACTTAAACTTGGCTCCCAAGGAGCTGCAGAGGGGGGCATGGGGCATTACCTTGACTTTGGACCTTAGATCTGGCTCCTCCAGCCCCCCATCCCTAGGCGGTAGAGAAGGCGGCAAGAAAAGAGGGCAGGAAAGAAGGCAGCAGCAGAGGGGAAGGGAGGGGAAGGGCTAAGGCGGCCCTGCCTGATTTGGGCAGAGCCAAAATGCCCGGGGTTTGCTCTGCAGCTGGATCGAGGGGGAGGAAGGGAGGGAGGCAGGCTGAGCCGAAAGGAGGGCCCCTCCCACGAAATGGAGAGGCCCAGAATGGGGAAGGGGGAAGGGACCCTGGAAAGCCACAGATGCCGAGAAGATGGGATGGAGAGAATGTCAGGGCCAGGAGGGAGCTTGGAACAGAGAATGTCAGGGCCGGGAGGGAGCTTGGAACAAAGAATGTCAGATCGGGGCGGGGGGGGGGGGACACTTGAGAACCAAGAACACAGAAAGGTAGAGCTGGGAGCTCTGCAAGTCAAGTTTCTGCCCCACTCCTCCCAACGCCCTCTTTGCTCCCTATTACCTCCGGGCTCAAATATTAAATTCCCTATTGAGTATCCAAGCGCTTCGCAACCTCTCCCCGCCCCAGCCTTTCCACTCTTCTGCCACCTGAAACCCCTCCCCCTACTCTGTAAGCCACTTCCCCTGGCCATCTTGCGATCCCTGGCACAAAGAATGCTCTGGCTTCTGCTGCTCTGCATTGTTACTGGCTGCCCCTAGTGCCTAGACTGAGCTCCCTCTTAGGACCCACCTGCTGGTTTCCCTGCACTCTCAGCTCACACCTACCAGGTGCAAGACACCTCGCTTGGCCCTCCTTCAGGCCAGAGCCTTCCCTCTGCCCTTAAGTCTCTACCTTGTTCGTACATGGTCCCCCGCCAGACTGTAAGCACCTTGAGGGTAGGAACTGTCTTGGTGCCTTTCCCGTAGCCCCAGTGCCCAGAGTAGGTACTTCATATTTGTTGACTGATTTGAGCCCTTAGAACAAGGAATGTCAGCGCTGCGAGGGAGCTTGGAACAGGGAATGTGGGGACTTAGGGGCTCAGAAAACGCAATGTCAGAACTGGGAGGCGTCTGGCCTGATCAGGTCTAAAAGCCTAGTGGTACAAAAAGCAGAGCTTGCCTCCAGGTCGATATGGGCTAGATCGAAGGTTTATCTTCATTGCCCTTGGGTGCTAGGACATTCTGGCAAAGAAGTCCCAGACCCCTTTCCAGAATGTTATTAAATGCATAAAACCAAATACATAGCATTACACAGGAAACCTTTTATACTGAAATACAGTTGTCCAAAAACAAGTTTGTGGACCCCGGCTTCAGAACCCCTCGGTTAGACCGTCGGAGGTGGGTCTTAAACCCAGGTGGAGAGGGCCGGTCTTACTACCACAATCTGCAAGCACAGCTTAGGCGCCGGAGGCCGGACCTCCGGGCCAGGTCAGGAGAGGGGCGGGGCTTGGAGGAAGTTCGCCAACTGAAGGTTCGCGGGGCGGGACTCCCGGAGGGCAGGGCTGTTTAGGTGACGCCGCTCGACCCCGCCCCTCGGCTCGGCCCCTATGGTTGGTGGGTGGTGGCGGCGGGTCACGTGGGCGCCGGACAGAGAGTGGAGTTCCCCAGCCTCTGGCACCGGCCTTGGAGGGGCAGAGCGAGGCGGGCTTGGCCGAACCTGTCGGGGTAAGTGAACCGCGCAGGGCTGGGGGCGCCCGGGCGGGACTCTGGGCACGGCCCTCCTTATTGGGTGGCACTGGGCCCCGGTTTCCCTTCCAGTAAAATGAGAGGATCGGTCTCGCTGACCTCTCAGACCGTCCTCCCTTCCCCCGCTCTAGTCCCGGGAGCTCCTATTACACGTTATTTCCTCTTGGGAAGAGTGCCTCAGTTTCCTCATGTGGAGGACGAGGAGGCGAGACTCGAGGAGGTCTGAGGACCGACCGGCTGAGTCCTTGACCTCCTTCCAGGGATGCTGGTCGGTCTACACTTGCACCGTGAGTTCAAGCCTAGTCTAAGGCAGAGTAACCCCGAGTGACCGAGGGGACCGCGCGGAGTTGTGGGGCAGAGGCGGGGAGCCCCCGGGGCGCTTGGGGTGGCCGGGGAGAAGGCTGAAGATTCCCGCGGCCGGCCGAAAGCATGCCTCCCTGGGCCTCAGCTTACCCTTCTGTAAAATGAGGGGGCTGGACGAGTCCAGCCTCCAAGTCCACCTTCCCCACCTGTCCAGCCCTCTGGGGAGAACCCCGGGAAAGTCCATCCTCTCTCCTTTTCTGGCTGTGTGGGTCTGGAAGAGCCTTGCAGACTCTGAGCCTCAGTTTTCTCCTCTATAAAATGGGCATGATGACCTAGAAAAGGCTTTGGGAGTCATAGAGCTTTCTGGAGGGGAGCTCCGGTTTGGCTTTGCTGCTGGAGGGGAGGGGAGGGGGAGGTTCAGGTTAATAGGAAACAAATGATATAACGCAGGTACTACTACTACTACTATTATTAAAGAGGAAACCTGAGAGTGGCCAGCTGGCTCCCTGGACAGAGCCCCACCCCCATCAGGCTGAGTTGCCCTGCAAGTCCCCAGGACACCCCCTAAGGTGGGGGTGGGGGGGGGTGTCTGGCAGGCTTCCTGGAGGAGGAGGTCTCCCACTCCAAAGGGCCATGGTCTGAGCTCAGAAGTTGGGTCTCGAGGGACGGCACAAAGTCAGGGTGGCACCGCAGAAGAGGCACTGGCTCCGAATTTGGCTCAGCAGCTTCGGCACTCCCTGTGTGGCCTGGAGTTCCAGGATGGGCAGTGACCTTCCCAGGGAGCTGGCACTGCCCATCCTGCCACCCTGCTTAATGCTGCTGGGCTCATTCCCCCGAGGGCAGGGCCTAAGGGAAGGGGGTGTTCTGGGCTGACTGAGCCCCCCCCCATTCACCACCATCCCCTGCTCTCGGTGTGTGTCCGTCCCTTGCAGACTGTAGACTCCTGGCAGGCAGGCGCTGCCCGTTCCCTCCCAGGTCCAGGGCCCTGGGAGTTGTAGGCACTCATTCCGTTTCCAAATTGGGACAAAGTCAGAGAGCTTATTCTTCCCTCTGAGGTTGGGGGATGGCTGCTCTTACTTTGGGGGCCTGGCAGGGGAGAAGCTGCCAGCCTCGGGGCTCCTGTTCAAGCCCCTTCCCCTCCCCCCAGGTCGCAGTCATGAAGCTGCTGGTGACCGTGCTGGCCCTGGTGGTCCAAGTGTTCTCTCTGGAAAATGGACTGATGCGGACACCGCCCATGGGCTGGCTGGCCTGGGAACGGTACCGCTGTAACATCGACTGTAAGGAGGACCCTGACAATTGCATCAGGTTGGTGCAGGCACCCACTACCCCTAGAGTCTTGGGCGAGGGCCTTCTGGATAGAGCTGGGGCCCCAGGCCCAGTGGGGACTCCTGCCTAGAGGCAGCTTGGACAAGTCAACATTGGAGCTGAAAATAGGACCCAGGAGCCCGGGCTCTGGCGCCAGCTTAAAGGCTGAGTCTTGTCTGTGCAGCTTGAGGAACCGGCCTGGGTCCAAGGATGCAGGCTGGGCTGGGATTCCAGACAGGGGGAAGGCACTGCAGCCTACCCAGGCCAGGGCAAGGCTCCGGCCCAGGGAGTGGAGTGAGCTTCTCCCACCTCCCTGAGGGCCTAAACATGTGTTCCCTTCTCCCGTTCCCATGCGGCAGCGAGCGCCTGTTCATGGATGTGGCGGACCGACTGGCGGAGGATGGCTGGAGGGACCTGGGCTACAACTACATCAACATCGATGACTGCTGGATGACACCAGAGCGGGACGAGAACGGGCTGCTGGTGGCTGACCCTGAGAGATTCCCCCACGGCATCAAGTACCTGGCCGACTATGTGAGCTGTGGGCAGGGCCTCCCTCCTGCCAGGGGGATGGGCCTCCGCGCTCCCTCCGTCCTGAGTGCCTTCTCTCCCTCACTGCTAGGTTCACTCCCGGGGCCTGAAGCTGGGCATCTATGGAGACATGGGTAACAGGACCTGCATGGGTTACCCTGGCACCACGCTGGACAAGGTGGTCCTGGATGCCCAGACCTTTGCCAGCTGGGATGTGGACATGCTGAAGCTGGACAGCTGTTACTCGAACCCCGAGGACCGTGCTCAGGGTGTGTGAGTCTGAGCGTCCGTGTGCCACCGGACATTCCTGGGTGTCCTGTGCTGTCTGTCCGGGCCCGAGGGAAAGCCTCTGGGAGGCATCCAGGCCCAGCACTGGGCCACTGGGTGGTGGACGGGCAGTGCCCAGGCTGGTGGAAGTGATGACCCTGGGCCAGGGGAGGCTGAGGGAACAAGAGAGGGGCAGGGCTGACGGAAGTGCTGGAGCAGGCCTCCGTTTCCTTCCCTTTGGGAATCAGATAAGGAGATCCAAGGTGGGATGCTTTTCCAGCCGTGGTGGTCATCAGTGATCACACGGGATCTCCCCAGTCCCCATCCTTGGACCTTCCTTGACAGGTGGGTGTTCGTCCCTTTTCAGGATACCCTAGTATGTCAAAAGCCCTGAATGCCACAGGCCGCCCCATCGCCTACTCCTGCAGCTGGCCAGCCTACGACGGGGGTCTCCCTCCTGAGGTGAGCCCCTCCTTGCCCCCTCTGTGAGCCCTCAGCATGACAGAGGTCAAGAGGAGGCATTTGGAATCTTAGGGCTGAAAGGACCTTGGAGGGTCTAAAGCAAGGGTGGGGGACCTGTGGCCTCGGGGCCAGCCCTGGTCTAGTCCAGCCTGACCATTCTACCCATGAGGAGCCTGAGGCCCATCACCAAGTGAGGTCACTGCACCAGGATGAGAATGGGTTCTCCCGATCCACGTGTGGGCGGGACAAGGCCGGCCTGAGGCCCCTCCGAGGGCAGGGGGTCTGGTGGGTCCATTCCTGGGGGTGGGAGGGATGACCTGACCCACCTGGCTGCTGGTTTCTAGGTGAACTACACCCTCCTGATGGACATCTGCAACCTCTGGCGTAATTACGATGACATCCAAGACTCGTGGCAAAGCGTCCTCACCATCGTGGACTGGTTCACGAAGCACCAGGAAGTGTTGCAGCCCGTGGCGGGCCCCGGCCACTGGAACGACCCAGACATGGTACCGAGCTAGGTGGCCCGGGGTGGGGGAGGGGATGGCGGCATTCACACCGGCTGGGGCGTTCACACCGGCCAGGGCGTTCATACCGGCCAGGTTCACGCTGGCCGGGGCGTTCACCCTCCAGGAAGATCAGGTCTGACTCAGTGTCTGTCCTTTCCCTTCCCTCCAGCTGCTCATCGGGAACTACGGGCTGAGCTTCGAGCAGGCCAAGTCGCAGATGGCCCTCTGGACGATCTTCGCGGCCCCCCTCTTCATGTCCACGGACCTTCGCACCATCTCAGCCCAGAACGCCGACATTCTGCAGAACAAACTCATGATTGAGATCAACCAGGATCCCTTGGGTATCCAAGGACGCAAAATCCTCAGGGTATGAGGCGGGGTGTGGCTGAGGGGAGGAGGAGAGCCAGGGAGAGAAGGCAGGCTGGGAGTGATGCCCTGGGGGCCGCCTCCTGCTGCCCATGGATGGTAGACAGGGCAGGTGCCTGGCTCCGCTGGGAAGTAAAGGCCCACACCCACGTGCACACTCAGGGCTTAGCCTTGTTCAGCTCAGCCCTAGAGGGCGGAACCAGAACAGACAGAAAGGACAGATTTGAGAGGCCTCTTCTTGGGGATGGTCCCTCCCAGGCCTGAGAGGCAGCCCCCACGGGCCTGGGTGAGCTGGGCTGAGGGGGGCCCTGAGGCGGCAGATGGGACTGAGCTGCTTCCCGCTTCTCTGCCTCAGACCGAGGACGCCATCGAGGTGTATGTGCGCCCGCTGTCCAGGAAGGCCAGCGCCATCGTCTTCTTCAGCCGCAGGACGGACATGCCCTACCGCTATCACACCACGCTCAGGTCCCTCAACTTCACAGACTCGCCGTTGTATGAGGTGAGTCACGGCCGGAGACGCTGCCCAGGAAAGCGCCCACCTGCTCTGGGCCTCAGCGTCGAGGACCCCAGCCTTGCCACCTCTGGCCCCTGGGGTAGGTCCCGCCGACCCTCCACTGGGTCCTGACGCTCGCCTCATCTCCTCTTCCAGGCCCAGGACGTCTACACAGAAAACGTCGTCAGCGGCCTCACGGTAGACACCAAGTTCACCGTGGTTATCAACCCATCAGGCGTCGTCATGTGGTACCTGTACCCCATCTCAGGCTTGGAGAACCCCCTGGCCAGTAAGAAGTTCCTCAGGTTGTGAAACCTCATTGGATTCCAACTTTCAGCCTCAACTGCCAGGACTCAGGGAAGGGGCCAGTGGGGGTGTGGGTGGGGTCTGTGCTTTCAGCTTGCCTCTGCTGGGCATCATCAGGGCTTGGCCCGTCTCCTACCAGCTGGAGCCAGAATGCCTCAGGATTCTTGGCGTGCCTAGGAGTGTCCACACTGGCCCTCCCTCCTCTGCTCCCGGCCTGACTCCCTGGACTTGGGGCACCCCCAAGGGCCCAGGCCCAGGCCTAGGCCCCACCTTGCCTACTAAGCTGGGCTGGGCGATCTTTGGGTCTGAAAGTTGGTCCTTGGGCTTTCAGCAGGAGCTCTGGTGATTCTGAAGATTATCTGCCTCCCTTCTGGGCAGAGAGGGAGGAGTGGAGGGGAGCAAGGGGGACAGAAGGAAAGTTCTCCCAGCTCTGCCCCTGACCGCCCCCTAGACCCTAATAAAGCTACTCTTTAACGGTAACATTGGTCACTGGGCTGCAGCCCAGAGCACTGATTTGTGGCAGGGGGCACCTCTGGGTGCAGCAGCTGGACCGGGGTAAGGGGGTGCTACTGGGCCTGCTGTTAGGGTCTGCCCTCTTCCCATCCTGTGCTCATGGGCCCCGCAGCCTGGGCCTGTTAGCTGGAAGACCAGAGCAAAGGAGTAGGCTGGGGGGTCCAGAGGGCACAGCTGCCTTCCTGCTACAGGCCTCAGTGCCCCTCAGGGCAGGGCAGTCACGGCCTGACTCTAACAACAGAGCTGTAGGCAGAACACACTTAGAGCCCTTTAAGGAGTCCCAACAACCCTCTGGGACAGAGGCAGGAGAATGACTACAGACCCAGAGGGCACACTGACTTGCCCAGAGTGAGCCAGCTTCCTTCACTCCTAGGAAAGCATCTCCCTTTCTGGCTAAGATCCTGGGGAGGCTGCCCAGAATGGTTTTGTTTTGGTTTTTTGGTGAGGCAGTTGAGGTCAAGTGACTTACTCAAGGTCACACAGCTAGTAAGTGTCAACTGTCTGATGCCGGATTTGAACTCAGGTCCTCCTGATTTTAAGGCCAGAACTTTATCCACTGTGCCACCTAGCTGCCCTTTTTCTTTTTTTTTCTTTTTGAGGCTGACCCAGAATGAAGCCTGCCCACAGTGCCCAACTCTGGGCATCCCTTGGCTTGGGAATGCGGCCTCAGGATGGCCAAGCTGGCCCGGGGACATTCCCCCACCCGCACACCATGCCTTCTCCAGCGCTGACCACACAGGAAAACAAATCTGTGCTGGCTTCTGCAGGTCTTCCTGGAAAAACCTGCTCCCAGGCCCCTACTAGGGGATCTCCACTTCCTCAGTTTCGAAACAGAAAATGCCCAAGTGAGATCAGGCTGTGGCAGGGGGCAGGGCATGTGGGCAGAGGACACAGCTTCTGGTCCTGCCTCGGCAGGGCACTGCCCTTTGGGGGGCCTTGGCTTCCTCACCCACGAAATGGACTGGGCAGACCAGGTACCCCAAGGTCTGTGACCTTGGTGTCTGGAGTGGAGGCTTCCTCACTCGGTTCGTGGGGGGCTGCCGGCCATCTGGTGTGACCTGTCTGCACAGAAGCTGCCCTCTGAGCACAGGCCATTTTAATTCTCCATCTCTTGTGACAGCAGGCCACACACTAGTCCTCTCTGCCTCCTTCTGGCCCTACAGGCCAGGGACATGCCTAGAGGTGGGCAATGACTATCCCAAGGTCCTATCTGTAGGAGGCTCTGGCTCGGACCCAGGTCTGTGACCTCAGAGCCAGAGGGGCTCCCAGGGCTCCTCCCTGCCTGTCAATTCCTTGGTTCACTGAGGAGGGGCTGAGGATTTCCATGCGGGCTCCCACCCTGAGCCAAGCGCCCCAAAGGCCAATGGCGTGGAAGGCAGCCCTGACTCCACGCAGGACTCCCAGCCGCTGGCCTGGCGCTGATGTTTTCCAGAGAGTATAATAATAACTAACATCTATAAAGTGCGTACTGTGTGCCTGGCACTGTGCTAAGCAGTTCTTCATAACAACCCTGGGAGGGAGATGCTATTATACAATTCTCATTTTACCAGTTAAGGGAACTGAGGCAGACAGGTTAAGTGACTTGCCCAGGGTCAAGCAGTTAGTAAACGTCTGAGGCTGGATTTGAACTCAGGTCTTCCTGATGCCAGGCCCAGCACCCTGTCCACGGTGTCACCTAGAGTCCTCACAGAGGTGTCATGTGTTTGCAGAACCCAGGCAAGGAAAGGGCCAGTCAGCCTAGCGCCTCTCACTTCACTTTATTAACCCCACCAAGGGCCCAGGCTTCTCCTGAAGTGTGACAGCCACATCGGGACCTGGTGGCCCTCAGCCGCCTTGCTCCGTGTTCGTATGGTGCCTGGGAGAGGAGAGAACGGGAGGGCAGGCCGCTGGGTCTGTGCGAAAACAGGAGAGTTGTCTGATACCCCTTCTCCATCTCCTCAGGAAGTGGTGAGAAAGGTGGGCTGCCCTTAGGAGAGAACACAGCGATAAGTCCACGGCCGGGCACGGGCCTGGCCTGGGACGCCGGGTTCTCAGGGGCCCCTTCCCCCAGGGAAAGGGAGTCCCTTCAATCAGGGACCCAGGACCTGGAACCTCCTCCTGCTCTCCAGCCCCTCCCCTCCCTTTCCCCTTGGCCCCCGTGGCCACCAGCCTGGTGCCTCCCCAAAGGGGCAGGTCCTGAGGACTAGGCCCTTCAGCCTGCCTGGCTTCAGTGAAGGTGACTCCTTCCTGCTGCTCCCAGATCTGTACCCCGTGGACCTCAGGAAGAGCAGGCCTGCTCTCCTTCTCCACGGGCCCTGCTGAGTCTGTTTCTTCTTTGCTCACTCCTGATCCAGTGAGGACCCAGAGAACGCAGCTAAGTGCCCAGTGGCAAAGGAGGAAGCGGTCACCCAGAAAAGGGCCCCGATGCTCGCGGTGTCTGTGGGATAGATAGAAGGGGGGACGTTGGTCAGCAGCTTCTTCTCTTCCCCAGGGAAGCCTTCTCTCGGCGCCCCGGATTTCACCTACTATGGAATGGTGATGTTCACTGGGCACTGGGAGGTCACACTCGCCATTCTAGAAGCAATCTGGATCCGGTGATGCAACGGTCGGTGGCCTCTGACTCAGATGCCATGTCTGGGCACAGGTGTCAAGGAGGGCAGAGATGGGGAGGGGCAATGGGGAATAAATGGGTGCCCACCAACCGAGGGCAGGCCAGAAAAACTGTGGCTTTTCAAAGAAATGGAATCGTACTGTCCTTTAAGAACATGACATAGGACTGATTCAGCTGCTGCCCTGAGGGCTGCACCCTTTCCCTCCGCCGACCTGCTATGGGGAGGTCCGGCCATGCTCCTCTCTACTCCATCCTCCCCGGAAACTTCTCAACAGTCAGGGATATCCTCCTCCCAGCCTGCCCTCCACATTCCCCATCAATACACAGAGCGTGCATGGGAAGGGTGGGAACAGACTACAATGACAGCTCACGTGTAGGGAACATATGTGGCCCTCGCTGCTCCCAACTCCAGAATGTGCCTCTCAAAGTCCTTTCTTTCCCAAGGGAGTCTAAGAAAGCTCTCTTCTTCACTGCCAGAGCTGCCTCTCTCTCAAGTTCATAGATGGCTCTTTTCTCTGCTGCAAAGCTCTCATTCCTCCAAGCTGCTTCCTCTCCCCAGTGACCACCCTCTCATTCTGTGTCCGTGTCTGTCTTGAGTGTGTTTCTCTGCTTCCTTGATCTCTCTCAAAAATGACTTTCAAGGGCAGCTAGGTGGTGCAGTGGATAGAGCACTGGCCCTGGAGTCAGGAGGACCTGAGTTCAAATCTGACCTCAGACACATAACACTTACTAGCTGTGTGACCCTGGGCAAGTCACTTAACCCCAATTGCCTCACCAAAAAAAAAAAAGACTCTCAAACTGAATTGGGGATTTCTTTCTGCTGACAGACACAGTGACTAAGATTGAGAGGGCCCTCAGATCCCCAAGAGATGAGAGCTGGGTTTTCCCCTGGCTGCTGGGACTGCTTTCTGCCTCCAGCTCTTGGACTACCATAGCCTGCTGGCTGTGTCTAGGGCTTAGCCATTTAAAACCCCTAGGAATATGACCAATTGTCAGCCCAGCCGAACTCAACGGGACAGAATAGCGCAGCAGATAGAGCCCTGGGCCTGGAATCAGGAAGAGTGGAGTTCAAGTCCAGCCTTGCATGCTTATTAGCTGCGTGACCCTGGGCAAGTCACGTACCCTCTGTTTGCCTCTGTTAAGAACAGCACCTCCCTCCCAGGGCGGTTGTGAATGAGACAATATTTGGAAAGTGCTTAGCGCTACCGTGCTCCTCATCCTCAGGACTCCTTTGTGAAGAAGTCCTTACAGTCTGTGACTCTGTCCTGTGATAATGTTGACTGAGCTGTGTATGTGTGTGTGTGTGTGTGTGTCTGTGTGTGTGTGTGTGTGTGTCTGTGGGTGTGTGGGTGTGTGTCTCTGTGTGTGTGTGTGGGTGTGGGTGTGTGTGTCTCTGTGTGTGTGTGTCTCTGTGTGTGTGTCTCTGTGTGTGTGTGGGTGTGGGTGTGTGTCTGTGTCTCTGTGGGTGTGTGTGTGGGTGTCTCTGTGTGTGTGTGTGTGTGTGGGTGGGTGGGTGGGTGGGTGTGTCTCTGTGTGTGTGTGTGTGTGTCTGTGGGTGTGGGTGTGGGTGTGTGTGTCTCTGTGTGTGTGTGTCTCTGTGTGTGTGTGTGTCTCTGTGTGTGTGTCTCTGTGTGTGTGTGTCTCTGTGTGTGTGTGTCTCTGTGTCTCTGTGTGAGTGTGTGTGGGTGTGTGTGTGGGTGTCTCTGTGTGTGTGGGTGTGTGTGTGTGTGTGTGTGTGTGTGTGTGTGGGTGTGGGTGTGTGTGTGTGTGTCTCTGTGTGTGTGTGTCTGTGTGTGTGTGTGTGTGTGTGTGTGTGTGTCTCTGTGTGTGTGTGTGTCTCTGTGTCTTGGTGTGTGTGTGTGGGTGTGTGTGTGTGTGTCTCTGTGTGTGTGTGTGTCTGGGTGTGTGTGGGTGTGTGGGTGGGTGTCTCTGTGTGTGTGTGTGTGTGTCTCTGTGTGTGTGTGTCTCTGTGTCTGTGTGTGTGTGTGTGTGCGTGTGTGTGTCTCTGTGTGTGTGTGTGTGTGTGTGGGTGGGTGTCTCTGTGTCTGTGTGTGTGTGTGTGTCTCTGTGTGTGTGTCTCTGTGTCTGTGTGTGTGTGTGTGTGTGTGCGTGTGTGTGTCTCTGTGTGTGTGTGTGGGTGTGGGTGGGTGTCTCTGTGTCTGTGTGTGTGTGTGTGTCTCTGTGTGTGTGTGTCTCTGTGTCTGTGTGTGTGTGTGTGTGTGTGTGCGTGTGTGTGTCTCTGTGTGTGTGTGTGGGTGTGGGTGGGTGTGTGTACATGGCGCACAAAACGCGGCTCCTCCCTCTCTGCCACAGGCCTGGCTCGTTAGCTGTGCTGAATATTCACAGCTATCTAGCTGCTAATTCTACAACCAGCTTATGACCAGTCTTGTTATTTAGCGTGTCTAAAGTACTAATTACATCTAAGTTCTGGAAAATACAGAGACAAGCTCCTAGAAACAATACCTCAGGTGAGCTGTGAGCCGAGCCTGCTGACGCCCACCTTAGGCAGAGCCTCTTCAGGCCTTCCTAGGGCCCTTTAAGACAAACCCAGAAGGCATCTCAGCCTGCCCGGGGCCTCTCCTGAGGACAGTCTGGGAGGGGCCAGGCTGGCACTGCCTCGGCCACACCTTGTTGGGAAAACTGCCTGCCTGCAAGCAAGGGCTGATGGTCTGTGAAATGAGGGTGAGGAGAGTGCCCCCCAATCCAGAGCATGCCCTGTACATACACACACGTGCATGTACACACATACACATGCCACACCACCAAACATACATGTGCGCACACGCACACACATACATACACACCCCCATCACAACCATCAGAGACAAACAGAGGGCTTGCTCTCTGTCCTTCATTGCTCCCAGAAGCCCCCCACGCCCCCCACGCCCCACCTCCTACAATCCCAGCTCCCGCTCACCTGGGTCCAGATGCTTTGCAAGGCTGGGTTGTCGGCCGGACACGTGGGCCAGAGCCGCAGGGGACGAGACAGCATCATGCCTGTTACATCTGGGGGGCTGTCCCCTCAGCCCAGCGAGGCTCCTGCCCCCACACGAAGGACCAGAGCGGTGGACCGCTTACGAAGTCTTCGCGCCATCATCATTCTATCAGGAAGGACAGCAGCCACAATAATTAAGGCAGGTTAGTTGATTTTTTTTTAAGACAAGTTGTATCATTCTTTTATTTTTATATCACCTTCATTTCCAAATAAACGTTCCCCCTCTCCTGTCTTATCATTATAAGAACACAATATCGTAAGAAAAAAAGGAAGAAAAACAAGCCATCCAGTAAAACAAATCAACCTATCGTCAGCTACTGCAACAGTGTATGCAGCGTTCCACATCCACAGCCCACCGCCTCTGCAGAGAGGGAGGGAGGGGCATTTTCTCATCCCTCCTTTGGGCCCCGCCTGGTCATCGTAACTGCACAATATTCGCACTCCTGGGGCTATCTTGTTGACCTTCCCGTGTAAGCCTGGTGCTGTTTCCCTGGGTCTGCTTCCTTCCCTCTGCATCAGCTCACAGGCATCTTCCAGGGCTTCTCCATTCAGCATTTCTTACACACACTGACAGCCCGCCATGTTCGTGAACCCCGAGTGATGGGCATCTACTCTATCGCCAGCTCTTTGCTGCTATCAGTGGTGAGGCGTAAGAGCCTTGGGGCATCAGCCTAGCAATGGGGAATCTCTGGGTCCTTCCAAACCACTTTCCAGAATGGCTGGATCAGACCACAGCTTCAGCAGCAGCACACGGCAGTGTCTCAAGACACTCCAGGATGATTTCTACTCTTTAGAATACTACCCCAACATCAACTGGCTCCCCTTTCCTATCGAGGTTCCAAGAAATTTAGAAAACTGCCCCATCCCATCCTCACCTCCCCCACCTCCCAATTGATGGTCAGAGTAGAAACCCTATCACCTACTTTGGGGAAACCTTATTCTCTTTTTCTTTTTTATTTTTAGGCAATTGAGGTTAAGTGACTTTTTCAGGGTCACACAGCTAGTAAGTGTCAAGTGTTTGGTCTGAGACTGGATTTGAACTCAGGTCCTCCTGACTTCAGGGCCAGTGTTCTATCCACTGCGCTACCTAGCTGCCCTGGGAAACCTTATTTTCACTAAAACTAGGGGTCAAAATTGGAGGGAAAATCTTTGCATCAAATAATTTTTCATCAGATATACAAAACCAAGAGTCATTCCCAGTAGACAAAAGGTCAAAAGATATGAACAGCTCTCAAGAGAAGAGCTGCAAACTATTAACAGCCATAAGAAAGATTTTTAATAATTAATCATAATAGCTAGGACTTTGATACACCTTAAGGTTTGCAAGGAGGCAGCTAGGGTGGCCCAGGCTAGAGCGACGGGCCGGGAGTCAGGAAGACCTGAGTTCAAATCTGGCCTCAGACATTTACTAGCTAGGTGACCTTGGGCAAGTCACTTAACCTCTGGGAAAAGTGACTAAAATGTCCATACCCTTTGACTCCCAGATTCTGCTGCTGGGCAAACACCCCAAGGAGACCAAAAAGAAAGCCCACACACATGTTGAAGTATCCACAACAGCCTTTTTTGTGGTGGCAAAGAGCTGGGGAGAAAGTCATTGCCCACTGAACAGTACAAGTGAATGTGATAGGCTATTGCTCTGTAAGAAAAGACCAGTACTTGTGGGAAGACAGAGAGGAAGCATGTGGCACCAGGTAAAGGATTTACTCCAAGTCCTAGAGGAACAAAACAGTCAGCCGAAATCTAATGCATGACCACCAAGCTTGACCTCCCAAAGTGGAGAAAAGGCTCCTCCTTCCTTGCCTGGGGATAGGGTGGGGGGGGGGCGATGGGTACAGAATGTTGCATACACTGCCAGGCAGACACATTAACTGGTTTTGCTGAACATTTTTTCTTTTTAAATAAATGAATATATATATATATTTAAGCATTGACTCTCTGGGGAGGAGGGATATATTCAGAAATGAATAGGATACAATAAAGGGCATCAATTAAAAAAAAAAAGAGACAATCTCCCTGTCTCAGACAGCCTAGTGCTCAGTGCTGGGGAGGTGAGGTATTGCACAACCTCCTCATTTACAAGGAAGGAAATGAGGTCCGCTGTCCTCAATCCCCAGTTCCCAGAATTCCTGGGGAAGCGGGAGTCAGACTGTGTCCTTTGGGCGTGAGGAGGCTCTCTCCCACTACTCTAGGGCCCTAAGGCTTCCCCAGCACAGCCCCTGACTCACAAAGCTGTGAGGCAGGTGATACAAATGTGACTGGTCTGGCCTCGCTTTACCGAGGCCCAAACAGGGCTCAGAGAGATTCTGACTGCTCAGCCTCTCCTACAGCTGGTCAGAGGCAAGGCTGGCACCCGGGTCTTTGCCTCCCAGA